GCTGGGTCCTGATCTCTCCCTGTGCCCGGGTCCCGATGTCTCCCCGTGCCTGGTCCTGATCTCTCCCCATGCCTGGGTTCCAGTGTCTTGCTGTGCCCGAGTCCTGATGTCTTTCCATACCTGGATCCTGGTATCCTGCCATGCCCAGGTCCCGGAGTCCCAGCCTCCAGGTCCCGGTACTTCCCTGCAGGCCTCTCACTGTGCTCATTCCCTGCAGGAAGGAGAGGAAGGTGGACAACATGAAGCCCAAGCACCCCGAGGAGCAGGAGATCCCGTTCCGCCTGCGGGAGATCATGCAGAGCCGCGAGGCCATGAAACGCCTGGGCCAGGGGAAGAGGAAGGCAGCAGGTGGGACACGGAGGTGGCCCGAGCAGGTGGCCCAGGAGCCCATGGCACAGCTGGAATCTGCCATGGGAGCTCCTTGTCCCTCTGGTGATGTCCTGGCCCTGCCCTGGCAGCAGGAGGGACCCTGGGGTGTCACTGCTGCAGTAATGTCCCCCGTCTCTCCTAGAGAAGAAGCAGCAGCAGAAGCCCAAATCCAAGGGGGACATCCCGGTGCCCAGGTTCCGGAGGGGGAAGGGGGAGTCAGAGCGTTCCTACATCTGCCGCATGGAGCAGGAGGTGCAGCACGTCCTGTTCCTCACCGAGAACCAGCTCCAGCGGGAGCCTGAGCGGGAGGACACGGCTCCAGAGAAGTCCCAGAGGAAAAAAGAGTGAGAGCAAGGCCATGGGGGCTGGATGGGGCCAGCCCAGGCCTGTGGCCTGTCCCCCTGCTCTGGTCTGCAGGGCAGGTCTGGCATTGGCAGCGGCTGGTGGGGCAGGTGGGGGGCTGTGGACCCCCTCTCCATGGATTTGGATCTCTGAGAATGGAGCCACAAGCCTGCTTCACCCTCCTGGGGGGTGAGCTGTGGGATTTGTGTGGCTCCTGTGGGGTAGGGACTCACCTCCTTGCTCCCAAGCCCTGGCCACAACGAGGCTCCTCAGGTTTCAGAAAAAGAAGCTGGAAAAAGCTCGGAAGAAGAAGGAGGAGAAGAAGGCGGACATGCTGGAGAAGAGCCTGTTCCAAGGTGGGGCTGGAGCAGGGTGGGCTGGAGTGACCCCCAGCCCTGGGGGGCCAGTACATGGAGGGGATTGGCACATCCCCAGGGGCTCTGACCTGACTCTGGTTTCCCTCACAGACACAGTGGCGTTTGGGGAGGTGGTGACACAGCCACCCACCATCACCTCGCGGCCCCGGGGACGGGGTCCTGCCGAGCAGGTGAGCTCTGGGGGACAGTGCCACCCCCCCGGGTACCTGCAGGGCTGGGGTGGCCTCAGTGGC